CCTGTGTCAGTGAATGAACGGGAAGGAATCCTGTATTTGTCATACAGGCTGGATTTACACATACACAATCCTTTTGTTCAAGTTCAAGATTTAATGGATGGGGATCAGAATAAAGCTTTCCAAACCTCTCCAGCATTGACCTGCAGTAAACCCTCCTCTTACGTACTTTCACTGACACTGCAGAGCTTAGCAATTTACCTAAATAGGCTTACTTATCATACTCTTCTTCCTTCCAAGCTCCACCCTTACTCGTGTTCTTTCTCACCTTTTTGCAAACACTTAAGTTGCTTTGATTTGCTGTCATTCAGCTGGGTCATGCTTGCTGGGCTGTGAGACATCTAAATCACTATGCAAAAATCCTTAACAGAGAGCCGTTCCTGTTTACTTTGCATTGTGCTTCAATCACTAACACAACAGACAGTTGACAGACCGTCAAAAATGAAGATAACTTAAGCCTATTAGCTAATTAACTCCCCGGGATAAGCATCGTTCAAGTCAGGGAACGATGCTTATCCTGCAAACTGACCAACAATGTTATTGTCACTGGATCCATTTCTCTTTCTTTCTTCCTGACAGACATTCAGCTTGTAATAACGTATCTATAATATGTATATAAATAATGATATGTATATAAACAGTAACTGTGTCTGCATGTATTTTATTTCTGTGTCAAAATTTACGTTAAATACATTAAATGAATTATTTTAGGGGTCTAAAACCTATGGCTCCTGAGACATATTTGGCTCTCTGTGACTTTGACATAAAACTAGATGAATAAAAATAATTAGTTATAGGGGGAAAAAAAGTTTTGATATGTGACAGACATAGGTGCATACACATAATGATTTGTCCCGAGTACTCCAGGCTAGATAAGGATGAGGATAAAACTTGATAATTTCATAAATGGAACAAAAACATGGTTATTCATCTACTCAACATGGCCGTTTTGTTACTGTGGGCTTAGAGTAGTTATTACCTGTGGGTTACTGGGAATTTCTCTACCATTGAGGACAGGTGTGGCTCTTTAAGCAAGGAAGAAGAAAGCAAGCATGACACCATCATTTTGGTGATTTTATGTGAATATCACTAGTGCAACTGAAAATTTACTTTTTGTTTTAAATAATAAATTTCCTCCAACCACCGCAGTATCTATCCTACTGCTTCGTGTCCTTAGCTCAAACAGCACTCACATTTATCATTATTATTATTATTAATCTCAATGAAAGGGTATATTCTAACTTAAAACAAACTGGCCTTTTCTTGACTTATTCTTGTTTAATAAGTCAACAGTGTTGCTAATTAGGCACTTATGTATCATCTAACGTGCCAGACATAATACTACACATTTACAGTGTTATGGTCGGCACGTTTGCCATGCTATTTAATGAGAAATGTGTCATGATTACACAAAGGTTCTGTTTTTATCTGATTTTACTGGCACTCACCAGGCCAGACATGACATGACAGGTAGATCAGCATTTCTTAGCATTCTTATTAGCATAGTAAGAATTAGATTTTAGCCTCCAGGTTTTGCAGAAACTTCGAATGCATGGAAGATTTCTGCACAGCTCCACACAAAGACTGAGACTTTCTGTTGCAGATGAAGGTGAGATGGGGAAAGCGTTGATTCCAGCTTTACGCCGACTTTGTTGCTAAACTTAGACACATGTGAGATGCTACATGATTTATTTCGGCTTATGCTGCAAGCTCAAGAAAACTTCCAAACTTAACTGTGTATGTAACATTTACATGTTTTTCTGCACTTATATTATCAAAGGTTTAAGTCTTTATTATATTCCCTAGCTGTTTTTTGTTGTGTTTTTTTAATCCTGCACTATTCATGTTTTCATTAGTTGTGACAGTGCAATACGTCATTAAAACTTTAAAAACGTCCCTCTTCTTTCGGCCCTGTTTTGGTCTCTGAGTTCGTTAGTTGCTGATGGTGGTGTGTTCTTTAAAGAATGACACCGGAGGTCCATTGTGAAACCTGTTAGAATGACAAACCAACCTCTAATGGCCATGTAAATAAGGGCATGTAAGATGTGTGTTGGTGTCACCTTTAGATGTGCAGAGATCCACGCACATATTAGGAAATCTCATCTTTCTTCATGCTTAATGTGTTTTTGTTTTTTATGTAAACCATAATCTTTTTCCAATCTCCCAAACAAGTAAATTCGCTGCCTCAGCTTTCACTTTGACTGCATATTTGGTGAAAAAGTGAAAGACCAAGTGAAAGTAAGTGGATTGCAGTTGTTTAGTAGAAAAGTGAGAGTGTTTCTACAACTACTTTCCTCCAAACTACTCCAACCCCACTCCCTATGGCTTTCTAATGCAGACTTTCTGTTGTCTGAAAGTGGAAACACTCCTGCAGAATAGGGACAAATGACCTTTAATGCTGTTCCAGTTGGATGACTTGTGTTTCATCACAAGGATGTGTTCATGTCACACAGTGATGCTCCAGGAATGTGTTTCCATGTGGGGATTCAGCCAAAGCAGGCCCTTACTGGTTGACGCTGCATTGCACTGATGACCCTCTGTGGCTCCTGTGTTGCTCCTTCAATTGGCATCCCTGCTGTGATGACAGTGGCTCCATTCAAATAAATGGGATGTCTGCCTTTTTTCTGTAGGGCTGGAAAAGGTGTGAAAAATTCTCAACTTTCTTTTATTAGAGCAGGTCTGTTTGTTTCTAGATAAAGTATTTACACTAAAAATGTCTTCCTGCTGCTGCTGTTGAGATAATAGTAAAGTTGTCTCACTTAAAACCAGAATAATAAGCAATCTGCGCCCAATTTAATTAACTGAAAAAAACTGCCACTTTAATCAGTCACTAGCAACAGAAAAAGTATTCAAGCTGAATTTCACTAAAATAAAAATAAGCATTATAGAGTCATTAAACTCTTGTTTTTTTCCTTTCCATTTAGCTAAATCATATTTAATTCAGCTTAACTTCCCTTACTGATTTCCTCATAGTTTAAAGGTCAAAGCTCTATAAGCCAGATGTCCAGCTCTGCCACCATCTTGAAAGGACTGCAGCACTTTTTTGGAGGTTTTCTGAGGCATGAACTAATTTAACTTTGATTTCAGTGGTTACTGAAACATGAATCACACATTTATAAAGACTGTAGTTGACAAAAACACTGGAAAGGTTAGGTCACTTTTTCCGTAAATACGATTTTTAAAAGTGTAAACGTTTAACCACCGTCTTTACTTTTAGTGAGATTCCTCTTAGAGCTCATTCAGGATAACTGCCACGTTCCTCTCTCATAATGTCTTAGACAGGGTGACCAGGTCTCCCGCTTTATATTGGACTGCACAGTATTTTTATCCCTACCCTCCCCCCCGTCCCACATATTGAGACAATGTCCCACATTTTTACTGGCTGAAGTTTAGCAAAGTCAACACTGCGAGTCTCACAGGAAACGTGTGGCTCAAAAAGAGATATATTGAAGATGCATCCTCACTGAAACCCTGTGATGATTACCAGACAGAGTAGCAGCTGAAATAACAGTTTTAGCAGTTACTGTGATAGAAAAAGGGAACGCAAATGTGCAAAGACCAGAAAAACAAGACAGTTTCCATTTGTGTTTAAACGAAGTCACAAAATACATTTTTCCTTTTGTATGACTGATGCCAAACTTCCATCTTGCATAGCTAATGTGTCCCACAGAACCATACTCACATTTATGTTGTGGGCTCAGATTTGACCCACAGTTCATTCTAAAGCATTAGTGCTTCTAACAAAAACTTTTCAGTTCTGCTGCTACAAAGACAGATATGTAGTGACCACCTGTCATTCCACAATACGTGGATTTATTTGTTAGATTTTTGTATTATATTGAGAATTTTATTCAGCTGTGGTGATGAGCAGTATGGATGAGGTTAGGTAGGAATATCCATGGATTATGACGTTCATAGACAACGCTATGATCCATAGTGGGTTAGGGTTAGGGATTAAGGACAGGTGGAGGTAAGCTCTGGAGAGAAGAGGAATGGAAGTCAGCAGATGCCAGAATGCATGTGAATGAGAGGACGACAGGTGTAACAGTGAAGATGCAAGGAGCTGAGGTAGTGAACCTGAGGTCCACATTTCAAAGCAAGACAGTGCACAAGGGGTGAAGGAGAGAGCAAGAAGCAAGCAAGAAGAGGAAGGGTGGAGTGGGTGGAAACAAGTATCAGGAGTTATTTGTGACAGAAGGATAGCAGAAAAACTGAAAGGGAAGAATTGAAAGATGGTAGTGAGACCTGCTATGTGTGGATTGGAGACACTGACAAAAAGACAGGAGACCGAGCTGGAGGTGACTCGATTGAAGATGTTAGAGAGTTTTCACTGGGGGTGACCAGGATGGACAAGATTAGAAATGAGTACATTAGAGGTACAGCTCAGGCTGAACGCGTTGGAGACAAAGTTAGACAGCATTTGCAGAGGAGTGTTGGTGGATATATTGGACAATGAATTTTGAGGCCATCCAGAGGGTTGAAGTGAGAGATGAGGATGCTGGGGAAAGGGTGAGATGGAGGCAGATGATCTCCTGGTGATCCCTAAAGAAAGCAGCCAAAAGAAGCTCTCCAGCTCTGTTATTTATTTTTATTTCACTTCTTTTGTTACATTTCAGATAATTGAGTTACTTTGTCTTGTTATTTTTGTTGCTATTTTATTTAATCTATCTGTCTTAAATACATCTTATCTCAGAACGCTTTAAAAATGGCATTGATAGTTTTACGAACCAGAATAAAACAACAAAAAAGTCTGACAACACTGCTTACATGCATGCATTTTTTTCCTTCATATGTAAAATGGGTAATTATCGTTTTTCCCTAAGCTTTTATTTAATTATTAAGCGTTTAGTTTTGCACATTCAGCCTGTGTATCGCCACCGCTCGGAGCCATCAGTTCACGGCGCTATTGTCACCGAGCGAGGCCCCGCCCTCGGCGTGACGCGGCGGGGAGAGCGCTGAGCCGAGAGAGGAAAGCAGCTTTAATTGCACAGCAGCGAGAAAAGCCAGCGATGGCTTCTCTGAGGCAGGAGCACCAGTACGGGCTCTCCTGTGGAAAAAACAACAAAAACAGCCCCAATAGGACGCTGTACCATGTCAAGCTCACGGACACGGCTATCAGAGCGCTGGAGGCGTACCAGAACCTCAAGGTACCTTTGTGGTTTGTTTGTTTTCTTTTTGTGTGTTTGGGTGTGAATTCATGCGTCAAAGTTTCTCTTTTATCTTCTTTCTAAAAAATTTCCACTACCTAATTATTCTTAAATTGTTTTTCTTCGTTTATTTAGCTCGCGCTTTTAATTTAGTGTGTGTTGAGGTTGTGGCTCCGGCCAGTACAGTTACTTCTAACTGAATCAGTTGGCTTCGTGGCTGGGTAACATACCAGAACTAAACCCAGTGATTGTCAGGAAAGACGAGCCCCTCAGCTGTTTGCTGGGAAGCCTTCCTGGTGCTGCTTCAAAGTAAAGCAGAGAGGCAGCACTCTGCATAGTTATCTAATTGACAAGTAGCCTAGTTTGTGTCATAATTGGCTCCAGTGGAGATCATTAACAGCGCACAGGCTTTATTGATTGTGTAACTTGTGCTTTAATCTGTTTAAATGTAAGATAAATTATATTTACTGTACTAATTCAGTTGCATAATTCTCTGAAGACGCCTATATGCAACTACAATAGCCTCATTTTCTTCTTTCTCATTAGGGGTCTTTATCAAGTGAGCCATCAATATGTTTCAAAGGGAGCCAAGGGGTAAGTGTGGTCATATTTATTTGTTTGTTTTCACATGTGCACATAACTGTATTTTTATGCTTCTGGGATTTCAACCCCATTTATTTGTTAACTAAATTCAAAAAGCCTGCATTGTTGTTCTTTAAATGAATAAAACAGCAACATTTCTTAAAACAGGAGCAAATTGCTCCTTAAATTCTGCTGCCGAGCTGTTGTCTCCTTCTGACTCACACTCTCCACCATGCTGCCACCCTCGGAGCGCTCAGATGGGAGCTTATAGCTGGTCTCCTCCAGCAGATAGGAGGCATGCAGGTTACTGGGTCAGGCTGTGGAGAGGCTTTGTTGGGTCAGCGCTGGGGGAAGAAGGAGGGGAGGGAGAAGTGCGCACTACACTGACAGAGCCAGAGTCAACAGTGTGGAAAGGAGTTATTATGAGTCAAATGAGGAGCATTAATAGATACAAATTAGCCCTGTGCACCTTGTTTCTACTTTGTAAAAATGCAAGTTAATGCTGCATGTGTGTCGCTGCGCAGAAACATCAGGACAGCAGTGCATTAGCAGCTTTCTTTGGCTCGTGAAATTCAGCTATAATCTGCAGTAAGCAGCCTGAAGTATGCGTGTTTTGACTCAAGTCGGGAGCAGCTGTGTCCTTGGGGAATAGTTTCTTTTCAGGCAATGCTAATTGCACAGGCTGGTTGGAAAGAGTTGACCCCCCCCTTTCCTGTCATGACAAGATGAGCTGAGTGGTCCTGAGCTTTATGAGGGAGTGGGGGGAGGCAGGGTATGGGTAACCTGTAAAACCTGTAAATGTGAATAGTGGTGGAACGTTTGCTGCTTCTAATTTGTGTATGTGTGGGGGGGGTTTTTTTGTTAGTTTAAGAGTAGTGAAAACAATCTTTTACTTTTCTGACAGTAAGGTGTGGTGCCTGTAGTTTTTGTAACTAGTCCAGGATTTTTCTAACCTGCTTCTGACCTGACTCGAGCTGTCACAGAGGATTGATCGTCATGTCGGTACCTCTTTGCAAGAGCTGGAGGTAAAGAAGCGGTCAGTCGGTTCCTGTTGTTGTTTGTGTTGTGCTCTGTATTGACTGCAACTCCCATTAGACAAGGCAATGATACGAGTAATTTAGAAAACGAATGCTGCAAATCCAAAGCTGATGGCGTGCTGAGAAATGCCTGCAGTTAGAATACAACCGAAGATGATAGTTGGATTCCCTGTTTTATTTATTTTTATTATTATTATTATTTTTTAATAGAGAAGCTGTTGTGCGTGAAAAGTGAGTTTCATTAATTTGGGTTTGTCCCGTGCTCCGTGCACGAGGGAAATGGCAACTGACTTTATATGGAAGTTTTGCTCAACAAGGTGGCGTGTTGGTAGTGATGGAGTACTGTGCAAAAGGCTTAAACCACCCCTAATTTCTGTTTATTTTGTGAGGAAAATTGGAAATAGGTGCTTTCATCTATTTAAATATGTGGAAACGTACATGAAAATACAAACGCAAAATACAGAGTTTTAGAGTCAGTATTTGGTATGACCACCTTTATTCTACAACGCAGTCTTTTCTTGCTACTTGTGCAGTTACCTTAGATTTTTCAAGGACACACTGCACATCATGACGAGAGATGCCAAGGTTTCTACTAACTCTTAACAATGGCTATTAACGCTGCCTAAAGATAAAGTTTAGGATTGGTTCTTTGCTAAGTTGTCTGTTGTGTGCAGACACTTTTCATCCCTTAAGTGCATAAGTTACGTGATTCACAGGGCAGTGTTAAGTGGATTACCAAACCAAAAATAATACAATGAAAAATATTCTTCTGAAAAGATACAAGGACTGGACTTAAAATGAGTGAAAAATCAGACAGTTTCACAAAGAAAGGCTGGAGAACTATTGCTCAACAGCAAAAATTGTGAGAAAGTCTGGCTCCTTAGAAGCAAAATATACAGAATTGAGGGGTGGCTCAAGACTTTTACACACTGGTGATTACTATTAGTAATACTACTACTTGTAGTCTTTGCTATTGTCGTTAATATTACTATTGTTGTTATTGTACTGTTATTATTTTTAATATACATTTATAGCAGCTTAAGAACATATTTTACAAAGTGCTTAGACAAGCAAATTCAAGCGTTAGACAAGTGTTACTCATAAAAAAAATCCAAATCGCAAATATCCATAACTTTGCTAATTATCCTTCATCCAGCACTGGTAGCTTTTTTGTTTTGTTCAAATCAGCTTTGCTCTGATTATACTAATGCTTGGGTATGCACTGGTCTCTGGTTGCTGCATTAGTTACAACAAAGCAGTTTAGGAGAGACTTATGTGTGTCTCATTGCTGTTGACATAAACTCAGACATGATGTGCAACAAAATGCTGACTATAGTTGACTTAACAGCCATGACTGTCATTAACAGTGATTTTCTGAAAGTTAAACCGAGCTCCTTTTAATGTAAGGAATGTGTTGAATACTCTGTCATATCGGGAGATCTGAGTGAGACATTATTTTTTTTTCCCCTGACAGTTCATCTGCGCCTCTGTCACTGTGACGGCTCAGGGATCGGAGAGAATCTGGCACTCCTCCCAAATATACGGCACAGATTTATAAGCGAAATGAATGTTTAGAGGTAATTACAGGAGCTGTAACGCTCTTGATTACAGCGTGAGGCATCATGACTTCAGTTTGCATTAGCTCTCCCTGTCTGCCTGGCTCAGACGTTGATAAATGTGGGGATATACGCGTGTGTGTCAGTGGCACACTTTTGCTGAAGTAATAGCTAGGTTAATGACATGAACTCTGACCTGCTAATTTTCCCGTCCCATTACAAGTTGGGAGTCCTACTTTTTCTGTGTGTGCCAGTAATTGAGCAGAGAGATCACACCTTCTGTGTTAAAGCGTGTTTTAGTGATGCAGTGAATGGCACATGTATGCACGCGTTAATATGTGTGATATAATTTTTTTCTGCTTGCTCTGGCCTGGGTGTTGGCAGGATGTTTTTGATTTGGGTTGGTGTGATTGTTTATCCCTTGTGTGGTCTACAGACATGATTTATTCATATCTGACCTCCTCTTTCCTGTCCTGCCCCCCTGTGCCCGGTGTGCTGCAGTCGTTAGCCTGGCAGGACCAGCGTCGATCCCTTAAGGTCCATCTGCGTGTGTGCCGTGTGTTTGTTTGTTTCTTTTGCCGGAGTGAATGAAAGGAGAGGATTTTGGCACTTATTTTTCCACAAGTGTGTGTCTGTGCGTGTGTTTAGCCTGCCTATGCTGAGTTCCCGAGAGTCCCCTCTGATTGTGTGCCGTCTCCTCTGATTTGAATAACAATGAGCGGGGGAATGCAGGCGGTGTGTTGTCACCCTGCCTGGATCACCCAAAATGAATCAGGTTTTTCAGACTAATGTGTTACAGTCGGTCCAGATGTGTTGTGGCCTGCCCCGAGGGTTTGTTTGTGCCCAGCGTGATAAAAACTTCCCTGCTGTGGATCTAATGGAGTGGAGAGTAACACAGCAAACAGCTTTCATCTTAACCATTTAGTTATTTAACCATGACCAAAATATAAAAAACATTGATGGTACTTCTGTCACATCATTACTGTGTACTGTATGTGGATTATCTAAACAGGTGCCACAAAGGCACTTAAAAGTATGTGTTCTCCCCAAAAAAGTCATCTTGCGATATGATGAAGTTGCAAACCACTGCAACTAAGCATGGGAAAATCTGTCAGGCATTTTATAAATTATGCATATAAATTTACACATTATACAATACTGTACTGTATTGTATGTGTTGCATATATTATGTTTTGGGGTTTTTTTTGTTTTTTGCTTAATCAGTATGTGCCAGCGTTGAGAAAGTATATTTTTAAAAGGCACTGATTCTATTTTTTCTCCCCTACAGTAGAAACAAGCATCATATTTATTGATATGCCTTTATTTAAACAGGAAACGTGGTTGAGGGGTATTTTACAAGGGAGATTAGAGGGGTTGTACTAC